TCCCATCATCAATCCACACACTATCACCTGTCAAATAAAAACAATCGTCAGAACTGTTCCTCAGAGATCTTGGTGAAAATCACTAATCAACACTGTTATCTAGCATCATTCAAACTAAACCAACACCATCAGAAAATTGACGGACTCACCTCACAATTCTCACAAGTAGAAAACTCAAGTCAACCACATCGACCATCACGATACCTGGCACAATCAACAGACAATCTCGATATGCCAATCCAAAATCAAGTTCACAATCTCACATCTACTCTATGTCGCATTCCTTCGTATTCACACTGTTTTTCACTGCCTCTTTCCTCTACATTTGAACAAATCACTCAGTCAACACCACACAACACACACCTGAAATAGGAAATACAAAACAAAAATGCATAAACACCATCGCCTCATCAACTAACATCAGACAGTAATGATATCATTGTATCACAAGTAGCAAATAAACATCACTAACAAACAAAAAAAGAACAACACAACATACCTGTGTCATCGTCACGCATGACCGATAGGATCGCTTCACTAGACCACATCATATCTCCACATTGTCAATCGCTCATGACCTCCTAAACTACTCTCTCCCGCGCGCGCGCTCTTCGAGATCCAATCCCATCATCAATCCACACACTATCACCTGTCAAATAAAAACAATCGTCAGAACTGTTCCTCAGAGATCTTGGTGAAAATCACTAATCAACACTGTTATCTAGCATCATTCAAACTAAACCAACACCATCAAAAATTGACGGACTCACCTCACAATTCTCACAAGTAGAAAACTCAAGTCAACCACATCGACCATCACGATACCTGGCACAATCAACAGACAATCTCGATATGCCAATCCAAAATCAAGTTCACAATCTCACATCTACTCTATGTCGCATTCCTTCGTATTCACACTGTTTTTCACTGCCTCTTTCCTCTACATTTGAACAAATCACTCAGTCAACACCACACAACACACACCTGAAATAGGAAATACAAAACAAAAATGCATAAACACCATCGCCTCATCAACTAACATCAGACAGTAATGATATCATTGTATCACAAGTAGCAAATAAACATCACTAACAAACAAAAAAAGAACAACACAACATACCTGTGTCATCGTCACGCATGACCGATAGGATCGCTTCACTAGACCACATCATATCTCCACATTGTCAATCGCTCATGACCTCTAAACTACTCTCTCCCGCGCGCGCGCTCTTCGAGATCCAATCCCATCATCAATCCACACACTATCACCTGTCAAATAAAAACAATCGTCAGAACTGTTCCTCAGAGATCTTGGTGAAAATCACTAATCAACACTGTTATCTAGCATCATTCAAACTAAACCAACACCATCAGAAAATTGACGGACTCACCTCACAATTCTCACAAGTAGAAAACTCAAGTCAACCACATCGACCATCACGATACCTGGCACAATCAACAGACAATCTCGATATGCCAATCCAAAATCAAGTTCACAATCTCACATCTACTCTATGTCGCATTCCTTCGTATTCACACTGTTTTTCACTGCCTCTTTCCTCTACATTTGAACAAATCACTCAGTCAACACCACACAACACACACCTGAAATAGGAAATACAAAACAAAAATGCATAAACACCATCGCCTCATCAACTAACATCAGACAGTAATGATATCATTGTATCACAAGTAGCAAATAAACATCACTAACAAACAAAAAAAGAACAACACAACATACCTGTGTCATCGTCACGCATGACCGATAGGATCGCTTCACTAGACCACATCATATCTCCACATTGCCAATCGCTCATGACCTCCAAACTACTCTCTCTCCCGCGCTCGCGCGCTCTTCGAGATCCAATCCCATCATCAATCCACACACTATCACCTGTCAAATAAAAACAATCGTCAGAACTGTTCCTCAGAGATCTTGGTGAAAATCACTAATCAACACTGTTATCTAGCATCATTCAAACTAAACCAACACCATCAGAAAATTGACGGACTCACCTCACAATTCTCACAAGTAGAAAACTCAAGTCAACCACATCGACCATCACGATACCTGGCACAATCAACAGACAATCTCGATATGCCAATCCAAAATCAAGTTCACAATCTCACATCTACTCTATGTCGCATTCCTTCGTATTCACACTGTTTTTCACTGCCTCTTTCCTCTACATTTGAACAAATCACTCAGTCAACACCACACAACACACACCTGAAATAGGAAATACAAAACAAAAATGCATAAACACCATCGCCTCATCAACTAACATCAGACAGTAATGATATCATTGTATCACAAGTAGCAAATAAACATCACTAACAAACAAAAAAAGAACAACACAACATACCTGTGTCATCGTCACGCATGACCGATAGGATCGCTTCACTAGACCACATCATATCTCCACATTGCCAATCGCTCATGACCTCCAAACTACTCTCTCTCTCGCTCTCTCCCACTCTCTCTCTTCGTGATCCAATCCCATCATCAATCCACACACTATCACCTGTCAAATAAAAACAATCGTCAGAACTGTTCCTCAGAGATCTTGGTGAAAATCACTAATCAACACTGTTATCTAGCATCATTCAAACTAAACCAACACCATCAGAAAATTGACGGACTCACCTCACAATTCTCACAAGTAGAAAACTCAAGTCAACCACATCGACCATCACGATACCTGGCACAATCAACAGACAATCTCGATATGCCAATCCAAAATCAAGTTCACAATCTCACATCTACTCTATGTCGCATTCCTTCGTATTCACACTGTTTTTCACTGCCTCTTTCCTCTACATTTGAACAAATCACTCAGTCAACACCACACAACACACACCTGAAATAGGAAATACAAAACAAAAATGCATAAACACCATCGCCTCATCAACTAACATCAGACAGTAATGATATCATTGTATCACAAGTAGCAAATAAACATCACTAACAAACAAAAAAAGAACAACACAACATACCTGTGTCATCGTCACGCATGACCGATAGGATCGCTTCACTAGACCACATCATATCTCCACATTGCCAATCGCTCATGACCTCCAAACTACTCTCTCTCCTCCCGCGCGCGCTCTTCGAGATCCAATCCCATCATCAATCCACACACTATCACCTGTCAAATAAAAACAATCGTCAGAACTGTTCCTCAGAGATCTTGGTGAAAATCACTAATCAACACTGTTATCTAGCATCATTCAAACTAAACCAACACCATCAAAAATTGACGGACTCACCTCACAATTCTCACAAGTAGAAAACTCAAGTCAACCACATCGACCATCACGATACCTGGCACAATCAACAGACAATCTCGATATGCCAATCCAAAATCAAGTTCACAATCTCACATCTACTCTATGTCGCATTCCTTCGTATTCACACTGTTTTTCACTGCCTCTTTCCTCTACATTTGAACAAATCACTCAGTCAACACCACACAACACACACCTGAAATAGGAAATACAAAACAAAAATGCATAAACACCATCGCCTCATCAACTAACATCAGACAGTAATGATATCATTGTATCACAAGTAGCAAATAAACATCACTAACAAACAAAAAAAGAACAACACAACATACCTGTGTCATCGTCACGCATGACCGATAGGATCGCTTCACTAGACCACATCATATCTCCACATTGCCAATCGCTCATGACCTCCAAACTACTCTCTCTCTCCCTCTCTCCCACTCTCTCTCTTCGTGATCCAATCCCATCATCAATCCACACACTATCACCTGTCAAATAAAAACAATCGTCAGAACTGTTCCTCAGAGATCTTGGTGAAAATCACTAATCAACACTGTTATCTAGCATCATTCAAACTAAACCAACACCATCAGAAAATTGACGGACTCACCTCACAATTCTCACAAGTAGAAAACTCAAGTCAACCACATCGACCATCACGATACCTGGCACAATCAACAGACAATCTCGATATGCCAATCCAAAATCAAGTTCACAATCTCACATCTACTCTATGTCGCATTCCTTCGTATTCACACTGTTTTTCACTGCCTCTTTCCTCTACATTTGAACAAATCACTCAGTCAACACCACACAACACACACCTGAAATAGGAAATACAAAACAAAAATGCATAAACACCATCGCCTCATCAACTAACATCAGACAGTAATGATATCATTGTATCACAAGTAGCAAATAAACATCACTAACAAACAAAAAAAGAACAACACAACATACCTGTGTCATCGTCACGCATGACCGATAGGATCGCTTCACTAGACCACATCATATCTCCACATTGCCAATCGCTCATGACCTCCAAACTACTCTCTCTCTCTCGCTCTCTCCCACTCTCTCTCTTCGTGATCCAATCCCATCATCAATCCACACACTATCACCTGTCAAATAAAAACAATCGTCAGAACTGTTCCTCAGAGATCTTGGTGAAAATCACTAATCAACACTGTTATCTAGCATCATTCAAACTAAACCAACACCATCAGAAAATTGACGGACTCACCTCACAATTCTCACAAGTAGAAAACTCAAGTCAACCACATCGACCATCACGATACCTGGCACAATCAACAGACAATCTCGATATGCCAATCCAAAATCAAGTTCACAATCTCACATCTACTCTATGTCGCATTCCTTCGTATTCACACTGTTTTTCACTGCCTCTTTCCTCTACATTTGAACAAATCACTCAGTCAACACCACACAACACACACCTGAAATAGGAAATACAAAACAAAAATGCATAAACACCATCGCCTCATCAACTAACATCAGACAGTAATGATATCATTGTATCACAAGTAGCAAATAAACATCACTAACAAACAAAAAAAGAACAACACAACATACCTGTGTCATCGTCACGCATGACCGATAGGATCGCTTCACTAGACCACATCATATCTCCACATTGCCAATCGCTCATGACCTCCAAACTACTCTCTCTCTCCGCTCTCTCCCACTCTCTCTCTTCGTGATCCAATCCCATCATCAATCCACACACTATCACCTGTCAAATAAAAACAATCGTCAGAACTGTTCCTCAGAGATCTTGGTGAAAATCACTAATCAACACTGTTATCTAGCATCATTCAAACTAAACCAACACCATCAAAAATTGACGGACTCACCTCACAATTCTCACAAGTAGAAAACTCAAGTCAACCACATCGACCATCACGATACCTGGCACAATCAACAGACAATCTCGATATGCCAATCCAAAATCAAGTTCACAATCTCACATCTACTCTATGTCGCATTCCTTCGTATTCACACTGTTTTTCACTGCCTCTTTCCTCTACATTTGAACAAATCACTCAGTCAACACCACACAACACACACCTGAAATAGGAAATACAAAACAAAAATGCATAAACACCATCGCCTCATCAACTAACATCAGACAGTAATGATATCATTGTATCACAAGTAGCAAATAAACATCACTAACAAACAAAAAAAGAACAACACAACATACCTGTGTCATCGTCACGCATGACCGATAGGATCGCTTCACTAGACCACATCATATCTCCACATTGCCAATCGCTCATGACCTCCAAACTACTCTCTCTCTCTCGCTCTCTCCCACTCTCTCTCTTCGTGATCCAATCCCATCATCAATCCACACACTATCACCTGTCAAATAAAAACAATCGTCAGAACTGTTCCTCAGAGATCTTGGTGAAAATCACTAATCAACACTGTTATCTAGCATCATTCAAACTAAACCAACACCATCAGAAAATTGACGGACTCACCTCACAATTCTCACAAGTAGAAAACTCAAGTCAACCACATCGACCATCACGATACCTGGCACAATCAACAGACAATCTCGATATGCCAATCCAAAATCAAGTTCACAATCTCACATCTACTCTATGTCGCATTCCTTCGTATTCACACTGTTTTTCACTGCCTCTTTCCTCTACATTTGAACAAATCACTCAGTCAACACCACACAACACACACCTGAAATAGGAAATACAAAACAAAAATGCATAAACACCATCGCCTCATCAACTAACATCAGACAGTAATGATATCATTGTATCACAAGTAGCAAATAAACATCACTAACAAACAAAAAAAGAACAACACAACATACCTGTGTCATCGTCACGCATGACCGATAGGATCGCTTCACTAGACCACATCATATCTCCACATTGCCAATCGCTCATGACCTCCAAACTACTCTCTCTCTCTCGCTCTCTCCCACTCTCTCTCTTCGTGATCCAATCCCATCATCAATCCACACACTATCACCTGTCAAATAAAAACAATCGTCAGAACTGTTCCTCAGAGATCTTGGTGAAAATCACTAATCAACACTGTTATCTAGCATCATTCAAACTAAACCAACACCATCAGAAAATTGACGGACTCACCTCACAATTCTCACAAGTAGAAAACTCAAGTCAACCACATCGACCATCACGATACCTGGCACAATCAACAGACAATCTCGATATGCCAATCCAAAATCAAGTTCACAATCTCACATCTACTCTATGTCGCATTCCTTCGTATTCACACTGTTTTTCACTGCCTCTTTCCTCTACATTTGAACAAATCACTCAGTCAACACCACACAACACACACCTGAAATAGGAAATACAAAACAAAAATGCATAAACACCATCGCCTCATCAACTAACATCAGACAGTAATGATATCATTGTATCACAAGTAGCAAATAAACATCACTAACAAACAAAAAAAGAACAACACAACATACCTGTGTCATCGTCACGCATGACCGATAGGATCGCTTCACTAGACCACATCATATCTCCACATTGCCAATCGCTCATGACCTCCAAACTATTCTCTCTCTCTCCCTCTCTCCCACTCTCTCTCTTCGTGATCCAATCCCATCATCAATCCACACACTATCACCTGTCAAATAAAAACAATCGTCAGAACTGTTCCTCAGAGATCTTGGTGAAAATCACTAATCAACACTGTTATCTAGCATCATTCAAACTAAACCAACACCATCAGAAAATTGACGGACTCACCTCACAATTCTCACAAGTAGAAAACTCAAGTCAACCACATCGACCATCACGATACCTGGCACAATCAACAGACAATCTCGATATGCCAATCCAAAATCAAGTTCACAATCTCACATCTACTCTATGTCGCATTCCTTCGTATTCACACTGTTTTTCACTGCCTCTTTCCTCTACATTTGAACAAATCACTCAGTCAACACCACACAACACACACCTGAAATAGGAAATACAAAACAAAAATGCATAAACACCATCGCCTCATCAACTAACATCAGACAGTAATGATATCATTGTATCACAAGTAGCAAATAAACATCACTAACAAACAAAAAAAGAACAACACAACATACCTGTGTCATCGTCACGCATGACCGATAGGATCGCTTCACTAGACCACATCATATCTCCACATTGCCAATCGCTCATGACCTCCAAACTATTCTCTCTCTCTCTCCCTCTCTCCCACTCTCTCTCTTCGTGATCCAATCCCATCATCAATCCACACACTATCACCTGTCAAATAAAAACAATCGTCAGAACTGTTCCTCAGAGATCTTGGTGAAAATCACTAATCAACACTGTTATCTAGCATCATTCAAACTAAACCAACACCATCAGAAAATTGACGGACTCACCTCACAATTCTCACAAGTAGAAAACTCAAGTCAACCACATCGACCATCACGATACCTGGCACAATCAACAGACAATCTCGATATGCCAATCCAAAATCAAGTTCACAATCTCACATCTACTCTATGTCGCATTCCTTCGTATTCACACTGTTTTTCACTGCCTCTTTCCTCTACATTTGAACAAATCACTCAGTCAACACCACACAACACACACCTGAAATAGGAAATACAAAACAAAAATGCATAAACACCATCGCCTCATCAACTAACATCAGACAGTAATGATATCATTGTATCACAAGTAGCAAATAAACATCACTAACAAACAAAAAAAGAACAACACAACATACCTGTGTCATCGTCACGCATGACCGATAGGATCGCTTCACTAGACCACATCATATCTCCACATTGCCAATCGCTCATGACCTCCAAACTACTCTCTCTCTCTCCCTCTCTCCCACTCTCTCTCTCTTCGTGATCCAATCCCATCATCAATCCACACACTATCACCTGTCAAATAAAAACAATCGTCAGAACTGTTCCTCAGAGATCTTGGTGAAAATCACTAATCAACACTGTTATCTAGCATCATTCAAACTAAACCAACACCATCAGAAAATTGACGGACTCACCTCACAATTCTCACAAGTAGAAAACTCAAGTCAACCACATCGACCATCACGATACCTGGCACAATCAACAGACAATCTCGATATGCCAATCCAAAATCAAGTTCACAATCTCACATCTACTCTATGTCGCATTCCTTCGTATTCACACTGTTTTTCACTGCCTCTTTCCTCTACATTTGAACAAATCACTCAGTCAACACCACACAACACACACCTGAAATAGGAAATACAAAACAAAAATGCATAAACACCATCGCCTCATCAACTAACATCAGACAGTAATGATATCATTGTATCACAAGTAGCAAATAAACATCACTAACAAACAAAAAAAGAACAACACAACATACCTGTGTCATCGTCACGCATGACCGATAGGATCGCTTCACTAGACCACATCATATCTCCACATTGCCAATCGCTCATGACCTCCAAACTACTCTCTCTCTCTCCCTCTCTCCCACTCTCTCTCTCTTCGTGATCCAATCCCATCATCAATCCACACACTATCACCTGTCAAATAAAAACAATCGTCAGAACTGTTCCTCAGAGATCTTGGTGAAAATCACTAATCAACACTGTTATCTAGCATCATTCAAACTAAACCAACACCATCAGAAAATTGACGGACTCACCTCACAATTCTCACAAGTAGAAAACTCAAGTCAACCACATCGACCATCACGATACCTGGCACAATCAACAGACAATCTCGATATGCCAATCCAAAATCAAGTTCACAATCTCACATCTACTCTATGTCGCATTCCTTCGTATTCACACTGTTTTTCACTGCCTCTTTCCTATACATTTGAACAAATCACTCAGTCAACACCACACAACACACACCTGAAATAGGAAATGCGAAACAATAAGACAGGTACACTATAATTGTTTTCGGGAATATTTTTCCGGTAGGACTCTAATTTATGGACGAGCCAATCAGAAGCGTCTAAGGAATTTCAAGGTCATGGCGCTAAGTTCACTGCGAGATGCTCACATTCTATCGTTTTACAGAAGATTTTAAAGAATAGGTGATCGTTGAGAGACTACAGCAAATGGGACTATTAAGAAGTTCCTGTGTCTGTGACTGCGGCAATTAAATGACCGCAGCACGATGTGCAGACTGCCGCGATGATATTGTATTTCCTTGTACTGTATGTTGTAGAAAAAATCTGCTCGAACTGTCACTTTTTTACCCGGTCACGGCTAAGGCTAAGACAAACCATGATAATCGTTGCAAATTGGATCATAAAGTCTACAGTAACATTAGCTGCGGCTATACCGATGTTTGGAAAGCGTATAGATGCCTCTCCAGACTTGGTTTTGTGCATCATGTTGTGGTGTACAAACGTTATTTCCTTGATCCAACGACAGGGGGTCCATACAAACAACATTGAGGGCATGTGGTCTAGGCTGAAGTATTCTTTAAAACCCTACCACGGCTCCAGAGGACGATTATTATAGAGTCATATGGACGAGTTCTTATACCGCATGCACTATGATTTCAAAACTTCTGAATCTATATCAAACCTCAACAAGTTCTCAAATAATGTAAAAGAAGAATATCCATTGTAATTCATCACTCTTTTATAATATATTTTTACTTTATACTAACTCTCTTCTGATTGGCTAATGTCCTCAAGGTCCCTTAAAAATTCGCTCAAAGGTCGTCCATAAATTAGAGTTTCACCATTTTTCCTTATTTTATATTGTATAGTGTTTCTTGTTGCGTGGTACGTGATATCTTATGTTGAAGTTGAAAAAAGTAGTTGTAGATTGCTGTTTTCAGTTCATTTCTTCAGCTTGCACCGTATATACTACAAGTCGTGGATAGAATATTGAATTTTAAGACAAGAGGCCTGGAGGTTTTAGCGGGGAATACACTTATCCAGTTTGTTGAAAAGCGTTTTTGGATTTCAGGCGGTGTCAGTTCGTGAAAACTTCAAATCTAATTCCTAAGGCTAACAACCAACTGAAAATCACAATTCCTCGTCACTCCTTTTTTGGCACTAGCAAGTAGGTGGACATTACGAAGGCCACTTTAACGTCGCATATATGTCTCCATAAATTATAGGCTCACCAAAGGTTCTTCAGTGTTATCTGTCTGAACAGTTTGGTTGCGTTGACTGACATTTCCCAGGAATCAGAAGTTTTGCCAATAGCATTAGACATATGTCTAATTGGTAGATTGGGATTTTATTTCAAACTTCATGAGAACATTATCTATACAGATAGTTGTGGTATTTGGGTGTCGTTATTCGTGAGCTTATCTATGTCACTAGGATGGTAGACCTAGTTTAATAATGCGGACCGGCCATGAATTAACCACTTAATTTATAAGATCTTACATAAAGTCAAGTTATCGTATGTGTTAACTCACCATATTGTGGTAGTCGATGGTACAGTTTGTAAGAACATTTTGGTGATATAAGCATGCTTACTGATATCATATATTTAATGTAAATGCGGATGAAATAGAGAAGGACCATGCCTGGATGTTAGTTCCTTGCAGCCTCACGTTGACCTTTTTGACCGCTCTTTTTCGTCACAGATTCAATGGCCAATGAGAAAATCCTTTAAGTTAGTATATGTTTAGATTTAAGAATTATTCGTGATGACGATTCATCTTTATATCGTTGTAACTACATGGTCTCTAGTATTGCGTGTCATTAGTCTTAGAGGTATCATAGCCATCAGAAGGAAGTGGTTAACAATATTTTAAGCATCCTAAACACTTCTGGACATCCTCTTAAACACCTACTTAAGCTTAGTTCGCATAATAACCTAAGGGGTAACACCCAGAAACTGGAGACACAACATAGCAAGACGGAATGTAGACACAACTTCTACTCCTTAAGAGCTGTCAAAAGCTGGAATTCGCTGCCGGCCGAGCTAGTCCAAACGACTTCTCAGGAGTCCTTCAAGAGGCAACTTGACCTATTCTTAAGGACCAAGGACAGCATCACACTATGATTTACCAATTTCTTTTCCTCTTTTAGTGTTAACATACCTAGGTTCCTGCCTGGAGGATTTGGTGATCCCCTTCTACTAGACACGGAAGACTGTTAAGCGAAAGCTTCTTCTATTCCGTCCACAACCATTTGAACCATTTGAACCATTTGAACAGTCATCCAATCTCCGGCTGTTAGAATAATGATACTATGACTAGAAGTAAGAGTTGATGGCTTCATTATTTCACGTGGATATTACATTTTTCATTATGCCCTACCTGTTTGTGAAATGTTTGCGTGGTAAATAATATAAACCAAAACCACAATCCATTCCATTGTTGTTTGCACATTATGACAGGACTGTTTGGACGTTCTTTTGACTCAACTATCTGATGAGTGTATAATGGGGCTAGCACTGATAAAGGCATGTTCTTTTTCAGATATGATGCAATCTTCAACTAAACCAATACGATGTTTTTTCAGTAGATAATTACAAAGCAACAAGGAAGCTTTTGTTCACACAAAGAATGAACAATTATGTTGATTTCAATGATTTTTTTGGATTTACAGATGTTGACAGACTACCGAAATATGAAGGATCCAGAATATCAACCCAGCTCACAAAAAAAGAACAGATATTAGGTACATGAAATACGGAGTTCACAATCAAAAACCCCCCACTGAAAAATCCTCGAAATAAATTAGTCAGATTTGAGCCTAATCTGCTTGTTTACTTCACTTCATACTGTTAAGAACTAGAATAACAAGTTGTGGTTAAGATTCATGATAAGAAGTTCTGGTGTTATCACATCAGTTTAACAGATGGAAGTCACTCCAAAGGACTCAAGTTGCACTAATTTGAGCTAGATTCCTTTCTATGGCCAGAGAAATATCACTGGGCCCTAGTCAAATCTTCCGGCAGTCGGGTCACTGAATGTCAGACAGTTCACTAATCCTCGTCAAGTCCCAGGGCAACCAACGCGTGTCAGTTAACCGCACACCATGAACTGGTCCATGTGGTGGTTGCAATCTCTTCCTCGTACCTACTCTGACAAATATATAGTTATATCCTTTGTGCTACGCGGTCTTCCAAGCAGCCATAGTATCTCGATACAGTGAAGGGGTAATTCACGTCAGGTGCTGACCGCGAGATGTGACTTCGAAGTTGGCTGTTTCGTCACACTATTCCCGTTTAACTCGAGTCTGTCCCCAATCATTCGACACAGATCATCTACATCGGTGATCTGTAGGTTCTTCCATAGACTTTAATTTCACTCGCTGTCTATTTTGCACGATTTGTAGCGTCTCTGTAGCCCAGCCTGCTATCCTAGACTTTCAACTCATAATTTTACCCTCTACAATTTTGGCAAGACTAAACTTAAGTGTTTTAGAGTGCTTTCCACCATCAGCCCTTTTGTTGGAGTATTTGGCAGAGGATGGTATTGTTCGAAAGGAGGTTGAATGAGTGGTAATTTCCAGGGGCTATTTATAGATTAGTATCACATCTATTCTTATAGTATAAGACTAGGTAACTAGATCACAAATATTAATATCCCTATTACCATAAGGTTATCACTCTATCAACAACTTGCTATGTTGATGAGATTACGATAGTATCTGTGAACGGTGAACGGAGCAGAAGCCAGAAACGCAACGACATGATATGTTGAACTACTCCACTGTGCACCGGTCCTGCTAACTAGGAAGGAAAGACTAGGTTCGTCTGGAAAACATATATATTCTGCAAACAGCTGGAAGCACAAACTAACAACTTCATAACTCATGGGTGTATATACAGTAAAAAACGTCCTTCAGATATGTCAAAAATGTCGTGCTAAAAGAAGAATCGAATCAATTACATTTAAAGTCTTTCCAGGTCCGTGGTTTCAATGAAGTTCACCATTTTAGTTGTTCTCAAACGTTAACTACGCAAGTACTTTTATAGATCATCATATACTAACTTAGATCACTTTTGGAAACCTGGAAATACTGGATGGACATTTTGTCTTAGCATGGGATTCATCGGCTGTGCGCACAAAAGTGTCGAACTCAAAACCTCTCTGGCACACGAACTCTTGATCTCTAGACCACTAAAACGACATCCAGAAGTAATACTGTTTAACTTCGACCAGTGCACGATATTGGCGACCATCCTCAATTAAGTGCAGTGGATAACTGTCTCTAACTGTCCAATAAAATACCGGATTCCCGAATACTAATGATATGCGTTATAGTATCGTCTAGTTGACTCAACTGTGTATATCAAGCTACAAGTTATTGGTTTTTGCAAAAATGTCCAACATAATATTATTATTACCATTTTTATTACTTTTTACATCATCTCTTATCCGAAAAATGGTTGTTAACATTAAGAACTCATACACACTTTTCCTGTACCCTATGTGCTTGTGTAAAATGAAACATTTTAAACCGTGTATAGTGACTGATTTCGTTGTAGCTTGAAACTAGGCTTGAAATCTTTCACTGGCAAATGGTAATAAAATATTATAATAAATAATATTTTCGGATTAGATCTTAGTGCTTGTTTTTCCTTTTCTTTGCTTTTAGGGTCTTACAGTATTATCCTTCTTCGTCATCACCTAATTGCATATATGAATTTTTAGTGGAGCTAAAAAATATCCATCTAAACATGTTTGGGCTTTACCCATCCACCTGATAGGTGATAAGTACAAGCGGTCTTATGAAATACCAACCTGAGTAACCTACTGTAGTAAAGCCTGTATCATCTGTAACGATTTGATCTTACCTGTAAACTGGCATGCCTCATGTAACATATTGTTATTTAAAGATAAATTATTATTATCATTAAGTAAACTGAAAATGAGCAATTGAAATTTTCACCATAAAATTCCAAAACTTAGACGTTTGCCAGATTTTTTTGAGATCTACCATCCTCAAAACCTTCCGTTTTTAATAGCTCATGTTCTTGAGGTTTACTTGCAACTTGGCTGTTTGTCGCTGCCGTCTAGATGGCTACCTTCTGGGATGTAGGTCAACTTGATTTTGCACTTATTTTATATTGAGTCTGAGGTTGAAGATATTCAGCAGAACTTCCAGCGGTAGATTTATGTTTCTCGAGAGGCGGTCTTAGGTCATCCGTTTCCGTAACTGGTTCCGATGTCGAGTCCATCGGTCTTTTCTTACATCCTCTCCACACATGGCTTTGTCTAGCCTTTCGACCACATGTGTTTCGATACAGGAATTGTAGTTTGTTCTTTAGTCACGAATGAACTCCGGACATCGAGCCCCGTAGTTTGGCAGCCTCAGGGACTTAGTCTCTGATGGTGTGTTTTTCAGTATTATCAGGCTGGTAAAATGTCGTTTCGTGTCGTTCGATAGACAGATACAACTGGCGTTCTTCTTCTTTCAACTTAATTAGAGCACTCTTAAATGTTTCTACAGATCATTCAGTTATTTGGCTATGGTTGGTGAGGAGGGAGAGCTGAAATATCTGATGGCTATCAGAATTCTTGAAACTGACTGGCAGTGAACTACGTGTAAGATCCGTTTTGAATGTTTGGTGTGTGTGAAAATCCCTCCATGTATACACTTTCACTTTGTTCCTATTGATCCCTTTACTTGTACATTGTTAGTTTTTTGATTCCATTAAATTGTTAATATTTGTATTTTTTTATTATGGTTTTTATTTTTCTGACGTCTTCACTAAGTTTTCGTGTTTCTTCCCGAACTGCATCTATGTTGTTTTACTTGTTACTTGTTCTTGGCGGCAGCCATATTGATTATCTCCTCCTTTGGTGCGTGTTCTATCCAGTCAGGATAGAATAGCGTTCATTTGTTATGACTGGTAATTTTTCCTGCATCTTTTATCAACTTCTTTATTTATCGTAATTTAGATTTGATTGACTGAACAATTATTGGTTGAATAGCCAGGTGGTAATATTTGTTTAGGTAACGACGTACATTTAAATTTATGATGAATTACTGAACTGTCATTTACCCGATTACTTGTTTTGATTTTGACGGGCAAGGGGGCGTGTCTAACCTACCTGAACGGCTATTCTTCAGTCCAAACCGTAGTTTGGATTCTACACTACGAACCATGATCTGATACAAGGAAACCTTGTTCAGGAGTTGCAGGATTTTGGTCGTCTTTGGTGGCGCGGTTGGAGTATTCCAGGCAATTTTTAAGACGCATCAAATGGAGTCAATTAGTTCCGTTGAGTCAGAGAAGTCGACATGTATCCTGGACCAAGGGCGTTCACGCTGTGGCCACTAAACTGGCGTTACTATAGTGTTATACCTCACCGCTTGTTGATGCTGTGTGGAACTGCCTACCAATTTCGTGAAGTGCTGGTCCACGAGTGGCCAATATACAGAGCCCCGGGCTATGCACTTTCTTTGTTTTACTCCAAAATGACCAACGTGAAACTGCCTCAGCATCTTTGATTTTGTAGTGGCATTGAGCCCTAACTACATAACCATCAAAGCTGAACATGAGACAACTAGGAAAATAGATACTAGACATTTAACGCGGAGAAAACCCAGCAGTGGGGAAAGCGGGAACATTAGTTGATTGAATCCAATCGGGTGACATGGCTCAGCCTTGCAGGCGTGATCA